GGCTCTCTGATCCTGCAGTCTTCCTGGATGTATGCTGCAGTAGTCTTTTCATTTTCCCTTACATTCTTCCTTTCCTTACACTCAGCAAGCAGTTTTCTGATGTTGAAATAAGATCTTTTGGGACAAAGATTAGCTTTTTGTTCTGAGATTGATCGTACATGCCCAAAGGTACCTATCTAACATGACGCATGTGGATTTTGGCTGTGAGTTAAGTGACTGAGGTGACTATTAATTTTGCACTTTGTAAAAAGTAAATTATGGACAGAGTAACGATAGGCTGTACTGTGGGGTTTGGTATATCACTGTGTGCATTGCTATCCACCGAAGCCTTAGCTTTTCTTTTTGTCTAGGGCTGCACAACACTTCAGGTTGTATCTTTTGCTTTCATGTGTTAGTTTGTGTTGCCAACAGGTATAGCAGCAGGGCTTTGAGCACAGATTTTGCATTTTATGACCTCTGCAATAAAGTGAACCGTTAACACTGGCCTTTTCCAGCACCTGTGCAGGGTCCCTTTGTGCCAGGACAGAAACTGCAGATGAATTTTTCCCAGGCATTTTGCTATGAGGTTGAAATGCTGGGGAGCTGTCTCTGAAGGACTGGAGCAGCTCCTGCTCGGGGCTGAGCAGTTTGCAAAGTAATGCACTTCTGTATGCTGTTCTTCTGAGGGGCACTCGCAGCCTGGCACAAATGTTTTCATGGATGAAACGCATTTATAGCAAACTTCTTACGGTGCTTTTTGCATGACTTCTGCAAATTAGGATGCAATTAGCTTGTTCCTACTGATGCCTTATTAGTTAGCATGATGGGCTTAAACTCATTTGGGTACGGATGTATCACAGATGATTATGCCCTTTTTATTTTTTAATTTTCCATTGCTTTTGATCATTATTTTTTCAGAAAACACTGCTGCAGATTTCTGCTTCTGGAAAGTAAAGATGATGGTTTCATTCTCTGCCCTGTACAGCCCCCTGCATTAGGAGCTGTTCAGTCGGGCCCTAAGTAGATACTCCTGGAACAAGGTCACTCAGAAAAAGTTCCATTATAAATACTGTGTGTTTATTTTGTTTGCAGGTTGCTTCTATTAGAAACTTTAATTAAAAAATGCAGCCTAAATACTCTTCAACAGTAAGAGATATTCAAACAGCTGTATCTTGTTTAAGCCACTTGCAGGTGTTTTTGACCCTTTTGAATACCTTTTCTTGTATCAACAGGTAGATTTGTGTGTTAACACTTCTGCAGTGGATGTAGTTTTCAAATAGTAATGGAGATGATTAAGGAATGGTGTGGTTCACAAAAGCACTGGTTCTGGGTTAATTGGGAATTATGAGCTAATTTATATGCTTTGAGTTTCACATCGCATAAAAATAAATAGAGAAGAAGAAAAATCTATTTACCTGGAGCTTCATCTGTGAATTACATTGAAATAAAGCTGTGTAATAAAATAATGTGGAAATTGCTGAAGGCCCTGTATGCACAAGTATGCAGGAATGGTAATCTACATTGCATGAATAATCTTTTAAATTATTAGACTGACGAATACTCTCTTGCAGGGAACAATAGGGTAAATCTTATTGTAGCTATGACAGTGTATTTTTAGTATCAACTAATTTTCAAATACGTCAAGCTAAGCTTCGCTGTTTTTTTTTTATTTTTTTGAGGTGGATGGAATATTTCTAGATGAAGAGGTCTGTGGCTTACTAGCTACAGAGTGTGGTTTGTTTTGATGCTAATATGCTCAAAACATGCTGTTTGGATCACAAGATGCTTGTTCACTTCACAGGCACTGCTCTGGGGCTGCTGGAGGTGCTTTTTTCTTGCTCTGGGCTAGTTGTATTTGAAGTCTCATTTTAACTAACTATCCTTAAATAGTAACACCTATTTTAGCCATATTCAAGTGTGATAGAGCTATTGCCCAGAATGCTCAGTATTTAGTTTTAAGATGCTTAGATGTTGAGAGATGGAACTGCTGTTGATGTTCTGTGCTTTCCCTTCTAATGCTAGCACTCTTCTGCTGTTAAAAGCATTTGAATGACTCAGTAGTTCTCTGAGCTTCAGTTTCTCCAGTATTTACGCTCTGAAAGTAATGCCTTCTATTTTATTCTGTTGGCTCTGGTGTCAAAGGTGGATGTTGGTGGTACAGCAGTAGAGGCTGAACCTTCCCACCAATATCCCGTTCCATGCTGTTGCCATGGGACAGATGGCAGCAGAGGGGCAATCTGACAGAATGGTGTCTGACATGGGAGTGCATGTGAAGCAAAGGTGTGTCACTGAATTCTTCCATGTGTAAGACGTGGCACCCATTGATGCCATGCACCTTGGGAACAGCAAGGTGCCATGTTCTGAATGGCCATGCACAGCTGTCACACCATGAAATGAGGGGTGCCTCAATCAGCCTGTTCATGTGAATGGATGGATTACAACCACGGAACTGCGTAAAAGCTGAATATCAGCCTCAAGGAATTGGAAACCATGGTGGCAGTGTTGGAATATCACAAAGCTTGCAGCATGTGGATCCCAGAAATGCTCACACAGAAACAGAAGGAACACCGTATGCAAGTTTGTCAGAACCTATTGAACCAATAGGAGGCTGAAGATGGCAGTTGCCTGGATGGCATTGTTAGCAATGACAAGATGTAGTGTCATCGCTATGAGCCAGAGTCAGAATGGCAGTTCACAGAGTGGTGATGTGAATTCTCCATCAAAGGAAAAGTTCAAGACACAGCCCTCAATGGCCAAAGTGATATACATTGTCTTTTGGTATAGGAAAGGGATGATCCTCCTGGATTTCCTGGAACTCGGAAGAGTTTTGACCTCTACATCACAGTGCTGGTGAAGCTGAAGGCTCAAAATTCCAGAGTCTCACCAGAGAAGAAGACAACCTTTCTCCTGCAGTGTGATAATGCCAGATCTCATACCAGTTTGAAGACCGTGCAACGCATTGTTAATCTTGGCTGAACTGTCGTACCACATCCACCACATTGTCTGGATTTGGCACTTTGTAACTTCCATCTGTTTGGAAAAGATGAGCTGTGTAGACAACATTAGCAACAACTGTGCCATCATAACAGTGTGAAATAGCAGGCCGCCTCCGTTGGTGCAGATTTTTATGAGCACAGCATGAGGGCTCTTGTTCATTACTGGTGAAAATGCACAGCTAATGGTGGTGATTATGTTGAGAAATAGTGTTCTGTAGCTGAGAATTTGCTCTCTCAAAGAGTGTTATTTGTATCTTTGTATACAAAGCTCTTTGTATCTTTTGTAGTTTCCATGGAAATAAATAGGCATTACTTTTGGAGCAACCTATGTATGTTGAAGAGAAAAGGCTCTAGATGCCATGAATCTGTTGGTTAGAGCTACTCTGAGGCTTTACTCAGAATACTGTTAAGCTCACAAATTCCAAACCTTTGTTCATCTTGCATATATTTTGCTGCTTCTCCCCAGAATGGATTTGTAGCAGATTTTCTTAGCTCTTCTGCTGCCCCTTTGCTACTATTTAGACCAGGGTTCCCGGATTCTTTCCAAATCCTTTGTTGTCCTTGATTCCTACAAGAACAGCATTGCTTCTTTCTGTGGGCCCTGAATTAACAGGGAGGTCCAACATACCCATGTCTGAATTCCTTGCATCTCTTGTGGCTGATTTTCTAATCACCCCTCATGAAAGGCTGACTTTATTTTATTGGGGAGAATGTCATTTTAAGCCTTGTAATGGAACAAATGGCTGGAATTGGAATGCTGGCTGATATGACTACCGTGAAAGCTTTTATTATGCTTTCTTTTTCAGCATGCTGTTTGAGTAATGCTAGCAATTAGTGTCTTTGTTATGAGGTTTATGGGGACCTGTGGGGGTGGCTGAGACCAAAAGAGCCATCAAGGCACAGCGTAGAAAGTCTGCTCTTGCTGTACTGTGTGGAACAAATAAGGAAAGCGAGTTATCTGCCTTATAACCAACCTTAAAATTATCGACTTCTAGCTACTGAAAGCAATGAAAGAACTACAACACAGATGTAGTTTACTTCCTGGTGGTTTTTATTTGCTTGTACAAGGAATTAAATTGATAGCATGTGAAGCATCTTGACTAAATTTGTCAAGAACAAGGTTTCTGGAGCAGTCCATTCTTTCTTGCAGACAATGCTTGAAGTCCAGTCTACTTTGCATCCAGTGCTTCAGTAGGTCAGTGCCAATGGCCTCTCATGTTGAAGTAGAGCATTTCAGAGAAGTGGGTGCTTTTGGGGACTCCAGCTTTGTCCTGGACTTAGATGTAGCATCCTCACTTGTTCCTTTCCATGAGATGCTCTAGGAGGTCTTGCAAAATGTCGTAATGTGGTGGGCACAGTCAGATTGGAGGCTTCACCTGTGTTGTCAGAAACAACCACTTCCTTTCCAAACCTTGCACAGTTTAGAACTCCAGACTGTTAAACCAATTGCGTGAGTTCTAATAAAACTTCTGAATTTTCCTGTTAGTTCTCAAAGCAATGAATTGGTGATGTTTAACAGTGGTGCCTCCTCTGCTGGAATTCATGGTGTTTGGAATTTGATTAATACTCAGGGAATCACTGCTGTATCACAGACTCTTGTATTCTCCAGCTTGTGTGATTTAATAGGAGTGTGATTAAACTATGCAGTAAATCCTTGGACTTCTTGTTTGTATTTCCTTTCACTTTTGTATATGGAAGATATTTTGGGTAGCTCTGTTATTCTTCAGTGTTATTACTGATGTAGCTAAAAAGGGATCTTGTAATTGCATGAGATCTATTTTCATTACAAAACTGTATCTAAAATTATTTACAAAAATCATTGCAAGTTAATTTTTTTTTTCATCATCTCTGATTCTATCACATTTTTAGGGAAAAAAAATCTGGATTTTTTTTTTTGTCCCAAAGAAATAGTCAGTGAGGCACTGTGTGATTGTCCCAAACTTCACGTGTTGTTATTGAGCTCGGTGGATGGATGTTTGGCTAAACAGTGCTTTTTTTGTTTTGTTTTGTTTTTTTATCCTGCAGGTCCAAGGAGCTAATAAAGGAAGCTATCCTTGACAATGACTTCATGAAGAATCTGGAGCTGTCTCAGATCCAGGAGATTGTGGATTGTATGTATCCTGTGGAGTATGGCAAAGACAGCTGCATCATCAAGGAGGGAGATGTGGGTTCCCTGGTGTATGTCATGGAAGGTATGGTTTCAAAAGCTGATACCTTTTTCCTTTATTTTCCAACATACATGGAGATGAAAACCTCATTTCATGAGAAAAATCATTTTGAAAAAAGAGACTAAAGACGTTTTCTAAATATGGTTGTTGAATAATTTGTGCAGACTACTTTTGCTTGGAAAATTCCATGCTGGAATTGTGTGCCTCCCTATATAAAGAAGGAGGGTTAAAGCTCTTAACCCAGCACTGAGATCTATTGGAATAAGCCACCACTAAATATAGTTCTTGGGCTTTGAGGCAATACCTATGCTTTGCTGTATCAGTGATTGGCTTAGCAGAAATGGTGGTGTTACAGAAATGGAAAGTGTCTGTAAAAGGAGGAGACTGGTAATAGTTTGCTACCTTATAGACTGTTGTGAGAATGAGCTTTTGCATGTTGATAAAGTGCATGGACATCTCTGCAGAAGCAATGTGTTTCATAATGGAAAATGGTAGTTTTCTGCCCTGTGCACAAAATGAGTGTAGCATCTGCAGTTTAGCATGTCTGATTTGTCACAGTATGTGTTGTGGCAGGGTTTTATCTTCTCAGTGAGATGTGAGTGCAGCAGTGGATGTTCTGTTTTTGGGAGCCGTCAGGTTTCTGAGAGTCTCATAGCTGGATGGGTGTTGTCAGCACTCTGCTTTTCCAGAATGTCAGCTATTTGCATTTTGTGTCTTATTCTTTCCACATTTGTTAGCTTGGCGTGTTGAATTGGGCATATTTAATGTTTCATCTGTAGGAGTTACTAGGCTCGATCAAACCTGGTGTCTACCTATCTCTTTGGCTAGTGTCTAACAGCGAGTTCTGAGGTAAATGTTGCTGTTTTAATTGAGTTAAGGCAAAAAACGAGTTCCCAGCTTGATTTGATACAGTACACATAGACAAATACTTACAAAATCTCTTGGTACCCTTTAGGAAGAAGTAGACCTGCGAGCATTTTGTCCAGATAATATCCAAGGAGAACAAAGGTTTCCTGCTTGTCTCTGTCTTCTCAGCAAATATGAGAAAATTCCAGATTATGTATAACTTGTGTATTTCTGTATATTTACACATGCACAAATTAATTTCTTAAATTGTCCTTTAAACAAAAATATTTTCAAGGCAGTAAGCCATCCTTTAAACATGGTTTCCTGCCAAACTCTTAATGCTGTATAGTTGCAAATTATTCTTCACTAGTTTCCCAAAACAGCTTTAAGGTTCTGCCCTTTTAAGGTTAAATCCTTTCTTATGGCACATATTTAAGTCCTCCAGCTTTTTATATTTACATATTTTCCACCTTCAAATGGCATTTTGCATTATGAAGTAGTTAGTGGGGGATTCCAAAGGAAATATATGCCCACCCCAGCATTGCATGGAAAGGTGTAGGTTTTTCAGTCTCTCATTTTGAGTACAGAAACCATTTTATTGAGGTGCAGGTTTAGTCTTAGACCAGTAACAAACTGTTTTAAAGCAATGCTTTTTTTTTTTTTTTTTTTTTTTTTTTTGTAAAATAGTGAAGTTTTCATATCGCACAACTGTGTTTGGTTCCCAAACACCATCATGTTACCATCATGTTGGAGGCGTATTTCTGCTGTGTGACTGGGTTTGGATGATGTGTTCCATCCAAACCTCATAAGAGCAGGGTGCACTTATGTCCTGTGCAGTGCTGTTGCATCCTTTGGAGAGGAATTCTGGGGGATTAGTGGGCAGACCTCTTCCCCCTGTTTGAAGCAGTGAGCATGACTTGCGACACAGTTGGCCTTTATTTGGTGTACCTGATGTTGTCTTTTTTTACTGTGGCTTTCCTGAATTTACAAGGTGTTTCTAATTATTGCTCCAAACTCTGTCCCTTGACTCTCATCTTCTAAAACAACTGTATGTGAAAGTCAACCTCATGGCTTTTGGGCTCTTCAGCTTATTCCTGCTCTTCTGGAAGGTGTCTGTGTGTGAGGGCAGGATTGGCTCACCCCCAGTGTTTGGTTGGTCTTATGATTTAATTTAAGATTATTTAGATAGCTATATAAATATGTATAATGCTTTAGAAACAAAATTATGTAGAGTTTATAGTCTGTGTTTAGAAGTAATGCAATGAGTGATGATGAAGTAATGGAAATGAGAGATGATGTTATCAAATGTCTTGGTTTATGGTTGTTACTGTGGGCTCATTTGCTCCTTTTGGCTTATCGCTGTATCCTTTCAGCTATTCAAACAAACAAAAAACCTACAACCAGTCATCTATAAACTTTATTCTTCATAGAGTTCTTCTGAAAAAAAAAAAATCCTATCTTGATGAATATTAGAGAGTGATTTTTTTATTTTCTCGATGTATTCCTCTTTCCTTCCTTGCTTGTGATGAATATGAATACAAATTAGTCATGTTGAGTGTTTGATAACCAATACTATCATGCAGATTTCTAATTTATGATTCAGCATTTAGATAGAGCCTCTTACCAGAAGTCTGGGTTATGTATGGATGATGTTTCCTTAGACTAATTATAAATAAAGATTTAAGTGAGATGGATTTGAAAACATCCATCACTTTCATTGTTGCTTTCTGCATTTGCTGATCACTGTGAAGCAGCAGTAGTCTCCATTTTAAATTTTCACTTATCTTCATAAACCTTATTAGACCTGTAGTCTCTATGATAATTATGATCTCTGAATATTTGAGTTCTTTATCCTGGATGTTAAGATGCTTACTAACATGACACTTGCTGTGCTTGGTGAACCTTAGAAGGCTGAATAATGATGAGCCCCAAACTCTTCCTTCTTTACTATGGCTTGATTGTGCTTTCTGAAAGTAATTCTGGCATTGGTATATTTCTGGGGTGAAAATGGCCGTTGTAGCTCAGTGAAAAGTCAGGAAAGTCTTGACTGTTTTTCCATTGTGTCTTTGATCCAGTCAGAAAGATAGTTAACTACTACCCAATACCAAGTTTGGGTGAGCTGTCATTTTTTATTCATGTGTTTGCCCACGCTGGCAGGTTTGATTCCTTCCACTCTGTTTTTGTGCTCTCATGCATGCGATGAGTGAGTAAAAACTGTGTTCTGTGTCTTATTATTTTTTACCTGCAGTCAGAATTCCTGCCTTCCTTGTGTTTCTTTTTTTTTTTCAGGAGTGCTTGTACAAACTGATTGTACTCCAGAGATGACAAGTTGTTTAATAGAGTGAAGCTTGAAAAGACTGAAGTTACTGAGAATACAAGGAGAAAGTCTTCCACATAGTTCCGTATATCAAAATTCAAAGCTGAGTAGGGAGAAGTGAAACACAGTATTGGAAGGTGGGAGGATACTGGAAACTAGGAGAGTTGTGCTTGTTAGAGAGCCCTCCAAAGGACAGCTTTGCTGCATGGAGGCACACAGAGTCCAGCTCACGATGGGCCAAGGATCCCCATTTCTCCTGCAGCACCCAAAAAGTTGTCTTGTAACTAAGTTTGAAGGTGAAAATTAGTTGTGATATAAGCAAGTATTTATTAGGGGCTGAGATTCTTGGAGAAAGGAACTCTGACCACATACAGCAAAAACATGCCTTCGGGCTGTTGAAGCTGGGACTGAAAAGAGGGATGAGTGATCCTTGGCTTATGCATATGAACTAGCGTCTGCTGGCACTCTGCAAGTCAAGCAATTTTGAGGATAAAATAAGCTTGCCAAAAATATTGCCTTTCTTATTAGTGCCTCATCAGGTTTTTGTCTTAAAATTGAGGTTTCTTTTGCAGTGAAAAAGGGATTATCTCTGTTGGTCAATTGTATTCTGCCTCTATAATCAGTTTGCCACCCCCAGTTTGTTTTAAGGTTAAGAAAAAAACAAAAGTTCTCCAAGCTCTGGTTTTGGAGGTTTGATTTGGTTGACTTAAAGCCTTTTTTTGGAAATCACATTTCTAAAACTTTTCAGAAATTACTTAAGAATTTGAAAACCTAGAAAGGTTTCTTTCTGAGAGATGCATCTAGATCTGTACCATGTTGACAGCTTTGAGTTATGTGTGGGTGTTACCTCGCACTAATGAGGATAAATGTGATATCCCACATCTGAAACCAAATGTTTCCTCTTTTGCTCCCTCTCTGTCTGAACCTGACAGCTGCAAGATGTCACAGTTGATGGCTGCATTATGAAAGGAAAATATGTCAGCAGAGCTATTGATAAATCAGGCGACAGTGTACAAGTTTTAGGCTCTCATGTGAATAAGTCATGCCACTATAAACAGACATTCCAGTTTTTTTTTTTTTTAGAAACTATATTAACAGGTGTAAGGAGCCCTTCTTTCATGTTGGTTTCTATTACCATGAAAAATGGAAGGAATAATACTGTGAGTGGAGTGGAGGGGACCTGAAGTACTTGAAATGACTGTTTTGTAGCTTACGATTTTGTGTTGGCTGTGTGCAGTAGCATCCTCCTTGGCTCTTTGTTCTTCTGCAAATAAATATTGAGGTTGCACTAAAACTCCAAAAGCTGAGCTGAGTGAGGGAAACAGCCCCACCAACACCTGTTAGGCTTGTGGTGCTGGACTTATGGGAAGGGAAAAAGCAGCTTTGAGAAGAGCCCGTATTGAGAAACAGTCTGTGCTTTCCTCAGCCCTTATTTTAATAGTTTTTCCTCTTAAATCTCCTTGAATTTCATTTTATTTTCATCTTCAGTCAAGAGGATTCTCCTTTGGGAGACTTTGTTCCTTGCTTTACTCCTCATAGCTTCTCCAAAGTGATGAAGAAACATCTAATTATGACTTCCCCTTGGGGAATGGGGTTTGGGACATCAGAGAAGTCTTGGGAAGGAACATATTCCTGGAAAGTGCAGGATTTGCAAGGATATCAAGCTCAGAGTTTGGAGATGTCCCAGCAGAGCCGTCTCAGGTGAGATCCTCAGGATCTCAAAGCAGCTCCTCAGTCTGTTGGGATTTCTGCCAATGAATCAAAACCAAAAACGGCTTACAGATACTGCCTGTCTTCCCTAAGATGACAGCTTGATGCTGCCTTTAGGTTATCATAGCTTTTGCCTAACTTTTCTGACACT